GAGGGCAACTGCTAATGGCTGCCCATCCTCTGGGTCATCCAGAGCATGGGAAGTCATTCTTGTTACTACTTTGTCACTGTGCTCGCCTAAGTTATTTGTAGTAGTATTAGTTGTGATTTGTTTGTTAGCCGACCCATTGTCATGTTGGGCTAACCCCGATCTTTGCAATTAGCGTTGCGAGTCTAAATTTCGCGTTATCAATTAGACTTGCGAAAAAGTACTGACTTCGGTTTGGATTAGCGTTACGATGGAGAGACGGTCGCGTTTGCTTTAGCGTTGCGAATTATAAGATATCGCGATTGTTCTTGGTATTTTCTACCGCGAATAATTATTAGAATTTGTCAAAGAGTAGAATTTGAATTTGTCGCGTGTTATGTGAATTAAAATCACATAATATAGATGGTAATTTTACATTAAATTCGTTTTAAGATCTCTAGCGTTGCGTTAATTAATAATCGCGTTCTTATACGTAGTGTTGCGTCTTTCGATCACCCGATGCAGCTAAGATACGTACGTGGCTGCACTTTGACATCACGATATTAGCGTTGCGTGAATAATTATAACACTCCACTACCGTCTATACTTACGCGGATTTTTCATCTTTTCTTTCTTCCTTTTTTTATCTTTTTCTTTCCTTTTTTTTGTCAGTAGCAAATTTGATAAATAACATCGAAAACGCGATAAAGCACTCCTCGCGATTTATTTCGAGAAATTTATAGCTTGCAGTTACGCACTTGAAAAATTAGCGTTGCGAAATAGAAAAATGTCCCACTCACGGTTTGTTCGGGATCCTATCGAATGGGTCGCCTTTCCGGCTATCGGATCTATCTCTTTTTCAGCATCCCCTTGAGCGTTTGTTAATGGAAATACCGTTGAACGGTATATCTGTTCGATGCTGATGATTTAATTTAATTTAATTCGTTGTTATAGTACTTAAAGTTATTATAAATGGTTTTATTTCGTAATTATACGTATATTACATTTGAGGAAAAGTGACAAGCGATATGGTATATCGGCATGTTTGAATTACTTAAATTTAATATGATATAAATAATTTTCTAGCAAATGAAAGAAAGGGCTTCTAGAAACAAGTTAAATAGATAGTCTTGCAGCGTGAAACTCGATATGTTCTTGTCTAGATAGGTACTAGTGCGTAAGCAAACAGGGCAGATCCCTAATTTTTATAGGTTTTTGTATATGCTAACGCCAATTAAACTCAGCACTTGGCCGCATGGTGCAGCACTAGTCCAGGAACAACCAAGTCCATAAGCGTGCGCACACTCATTTCCTCCCTTCTAGTATCGGCCAGTACGGGCAGAATCACGAATCCTTCGTTATTCGATGTATCGTTATGGAATTCCCGCTGGATCGACACTCTCTTCAAATGACGCACGACTTATGTACGCGTGTGGTTTATACTATCGTTCTACTCACATATGCTAGGCTGTATACTAGCAAAGAGGGAATTAGAGTGCTCGCGCGCGTCCTTGTGTTGTCCCCTATACAAGTGCTGTACCAAACAGCCAAGTGTTGCAGTGGTTTAACCACAGACGAGTATATGCATAAGATAAATCACATATAATCCAAGTACGATCGTATTAAATAGCTTTCGACGCTCGCTAGGGAAAATTGAATCGTCAAAAATTAAATGGAAGACAATAAAGTTTCTCTTACTCTGCTCATGCATAATACGCACATATACATAGATACTACTAGATTAATAAATCATAATTTTTTAAATTAGCTTTATGTTAAACTATATTAAATTTTAGCTATCCTAATTAATTACAATAAATAACAAATCCAATTATTGTCAATTAAATGTTCGATTAGGTGGAAAGGTTTTAAAACTTTGTATAACACAGATATGAAATTATTTGAGGCAAAAGCACTAGTGTGCCTAAGTCTATGTGTGAAGCATATGAATCTGAGCAATTTCGCTGAAATGTGAGCCCGATTAGCTAAGCTACGCGAGCATGTTACGACTTTTATTCGTACAAAAAAAATGTTAGTACTTATCGGAAGTTTATATTTATTTTATTTGTATAGCTGTTTAGTAGATCTGTGTGTATAGCTGCACTTGAAATATGTAAACAAGCAAATCATGTGGGACTACATGATATTGTAGCAGCAGTAAAAATATTTTTGTTTCGTCTGGCGGTCAAGCTTTTAAAGTACGTATAATGTATAATAATAATAATAATTTTTATTTATTCATACAATAATATAATATTTTATCAATATCGTGGAAAAATGATTTATTTATTTAACTTAATAAGACGTTATTATTTATTTTACGCATGCATTGCCTATCATATATATTATTATGTTTTATGATGTTTATGCATTATTTAAAAAATTAGAATCAATTTTCATTATTTTCTTTCGTAGACATATCTCTACTCTTAAATAGTTTTATGTTCTGGTGATTTTTGCGTAATTTTCTAGACGTTACAATGATTCTTTTGGCTGAACGAAGCAAGAAATAAGAAGAAAAGAGAAGGAAACACAGGAAGAGAAGAGGTGAAAGAGTTGATAAAAGAAGTGGTGTAATAAGCATGAAAGAGAAGCTTGAACTAAGTTAATGAGAATGGAAGGAAGGAAAGCTAAGTCGAGATAGAAGGGTACGGGAGCTGGAGAAGGCAGAGGAACGCAGAAATAAACAGGAAAAAGAGAATAACGTAATGATTAAAGATCTTTGAATAAATAGGTAATTAGAAGAGGAGGTTTGAGGATTTATAAAGAAGAACGTGGAAACTGAGATGGAAATAAAAATATTACCGCAGATTAAGAGCAAAAGGAATATTAGTACGACAAAAGTAAGATTGGCTGGCATAGAAGACAAGAAAATAATAATGCGGAACAAGGAAAAATTAAAAATTAAGGACTATATACATACAACGATATTATATATATATACTATATACTATACTATATATACATATACTATAGGACTATATGTATAACGACCATAGAGTGTGTAATACAGGGAGAAATAAGCAAGACAGCAGCAATAGGGAAGGTAAAAGTTAATGGAAATCAGATGTAAGAAGCTATTTAGAAATGGAAACAAATATATATATATATATATATAGAGAGAGAGAGAGAGAGAGAGAGAGAGAAAGAGAGAGAGAGAGAGAGAGAGGCGTTTGATCTTAGTAAGAGAGGGTTATTTCTTGAGAAACCAGCCGACAAAAATTAACAGGGTATTCGAAGAATTACAAATACGCAGAGAGCAAGGGATGAAGAGATCATTTAAAAGGAGGAGATTTAATAGTAGAATGTGCATTATTTATGATATTAAGGAAATTAAAAAGAAAGAGAAGGTGAAAGAAACGGAAATAATAAGAGAAAGTGAAACATGGTTTCGCGCCCGAAATAGTATGAAAAATAAGAATTATAATATTAGTGATATACACGTTAAGGAAGAGAGAATGTAACTGACTGAAAGAGTTTTTAGTAAAGACTATAAGCACAGATGTTGAGACTCGTTTAGTTGAATAGCATGCCAAAGAAAAGTAAACGAAGACGAATCTCAGAAGCAGGGTTAAATAGAATTACAGTTTATCTATAATATAAATAGAATAGCGTGTGTACAAATGTATACTATGTATATACTATCTGTATGACAAAAATCAGACTACCAAATCAGCGATAGTAAGATAGAAATAAGTACAAATTATAAGTAAATAATAATAATCGATATGATATAGAATAAGAATGATTATTTAAAAAAATGAAATGTAATGGACGATTGCCCAACACAATAAACGAATACACTATATGTATACACACAGTCTATTAGCGGTAGAGTGTATTATTAAATATATAACTTTTTATCATTTCTAATTTAAAAAATATGTAACGTTCTATCGGTGTTCTGCCCATTACGGATAGTTGAACCTTCTTCGAAGGAACGATCTGCTCCAGCGGTCCTTGACGGTCCTGTATTCCGTGGAACCTCGGAGAGCCTCGAAGTCCGTATTGCATATACACGCAAGTTATTATTATATACGAATAAAAAATATATAGTTTGTATCTCTTTCTATTTATTTATTCATATGCCTTTAAAATTAACCTAATGTGACAATTTCTTTCTTGTAAACGCCCCTTTTAACACAAATTAACTGGGCAATGTGCGTGCAAGGAGGAACGAAAGAGTATTATAAGGAAATATAAAAAGCGCAATATCTGTAATTTCTACTCAGCGTTAATGGCGAGGTCCTTGCTGGATTAATAAAAGTATAGAGTGCTATCGCAGGCACTTTTTTTATTGAAAAATCCAACTGAAACCAAAACCCAATAACATGTGTGACGTTCAGTCTTAAGCGAGTTATAGGTAATAACGGACATTTTTTGGATATGCGCGTTATACACGGGGCGTTTAAGCTCGCTCGATCCTTGTTTATAAAGAGGAGACGATGGAAGAGAAGAGTAAGGGTCAAGCTGCGTAGATCCGGTAGTTTTTAGATCATACTCACAATCTTTGCTTCTACGCACAACGATGGTGATTTTTGACCAAGAGGAAAAACTAGATCATGGTGTATCGATAAAACTTGTCACAAGAGCGGAAAATTATTCAGCCAAAAGTTTACTCGCGTAAAATAGCGTCTCTCTTTCTCTACTTTCGAAACGTTTTTGCCAATAGCTTCTCAGCTGGCTGAGATCCTGACTTGATCCTTGTGGCTTCTACATGACGGTTGCGCGCATCGAATCGCTTCCATTCACGGAACTTTGTTCAACTTTTGGAAGGAGAGAAAGGGCGTGACAGTGGTAGACAAACGAGCCTCGCGGTCGTCGCAAGTTTTTTAGCCGGTAACTAATCTTTTCCATTCTTCGAAAGTTATAATATAAGTGGTTATTTGCAGTGCTAAAAAATTAAAAAATTGCTACTCGATTACTGGTGAAATCGTTGGTAATCACAGTCTCCAGCAATCCTTTCCTCTTAGTATCAAAGAAGAGCCTCTTCGGACCTTTCTGATCATCTTCGTAGAGACGCAGAAATAAAAGTTCCTATTTCACAGATCGATTTCAGGTATCGACGCGATAATTTCATTTTCCTTCGGATAACCGTCTACCAATGAGTGAACGATCGCGTCTCTTTCGCGTTACAAAGTTTCATACAGCGAATCAAATTTTCATCGTGGGATTATAACCGGCGAGGCGGCCGGTCTGACGGCAAATTGGCATGCCGCGCCGCCTCGTTTCTTCTCGCATCGTCGACTCGCTCGCTTTCCTCCTACACCGAGCGTAAACCGACACGCGAAATGGACGATAGGGACGTGACAGAAGGAAGGGTGGATTTCCCGGAATCTCGTTATACTTTCCCGCTGACTTGGCTCCATCTGCTCGGGATCGTGCGTGTGCGCATGCACGTTTACAGGGTTGGTTTGCCCGAGAAAATTTTCTAGCATCGACAACATTTCCTAGCATCCACCTCCACGGTGGTAACGTGTTTACATTCGATCCATTACGCGTTACAAATTTTGTCGGCTTTGCGTTTAGAGTAACGAGCTATGGAAATTTCTAAATTACGGTGTATTTTATTCGATGTTTATATTTTTTATTTTTTTTGCTTACTATCATTATTAACATTTAATATCTGATAATTAATAACGATAGGAAAATACGAGATTGAGCGATGCCCTCTAAAAGCATTGGAATTACTCACAAAGTTGTCAATTTTGTTGAAAAGAGCAGAAACAGCGATGGATGGTTGTAAATATTTTTTGTAACTTCAATTCTGTAACGACCTGCATCGTTCGTTACGTGTATTCGTATCTTGAAAAAAACATGCTTACTAGCTGATACATAAAAATCATGCTTCGTGTTCGATATGTTGAACGTGTTGCGTATTTTCTGGACAAAGCAACATTTTAGTTAGTTTATTAGTTTATATATCGATCTATAAATTTCTCTCATCGCGACGAAACACCATATAAAAACTGGAAAATCTGTCAACGGCAGTTTTTCATTGATTTCGATCATAACCAGTAGGTTTCGTTCGATCGGGCCACATTTACGAGAAACGATGAAAACGAAAGACGGAAGGAAGCGACATTACGCTCTACGTACTTTTCGAGTTACGCATGTTCGAAGAAGATGTTCCAGGTGTCCGCTTCGTGTCTCGACACACGCTATTGCACGTCTGACATTCGCTCGCTTACTCGCTCGTTATTAGTCGGAATAGTCACTCGTAGCAGCGCACCGTGTACATTGTTCACTCGCGTTCAACACAAAATAGATCTTAAATGTGTGAGAAGGAAGAAAAGAAACTTTAGACTAAAAGATTTAGATCGGTGGTAGACGTATAATGGATCCTTTCCGCTATCCATCATCGATCGTACGTACACTCGAAAGCGGAGGTGTATTTTTTGCTTATATCAGCGTGCAAATTTACACACCCTGCAGCAATCAAGTATCGACGTTCGCTTATGAATCACTCTCTATATACAACGCACAGCGAGAATATTACAATGTAGCGTTGCACGATCCGCAAACGATAAGAAGTGCACGGCCTTCGACAATTTGACGATTCCAACGTTGCATCGATGCAAACGGTCACCGTTTCGAACGCGCGTTCCAACGTAAGATCGATTGTTTGCTTGATTATATATCGTCCAATGATCCTGTGTATCAGAGACCGTCGAAATCGTCCAAACGTCCTTTATTCTGCCAAGAATAGAAAAGTATGGCAAGCGATCTAGAAATATTGAGGTGACTTTAAGGTCTAGTGAAACGAACAAATTATTACTATCTAAATACCACGTATTACGGCATCCTCTGTACCGCGTGACTTTTGTGCAGGGACGTGGATCGAGACGAGGATCGGCGCAAAGAGCCGGCCGAAAAATCCAGGCACCCTCGCGACCACTTGTACGATGACACACCACCCAACGATCGACGCGCGTAACGATAGATTATCCGTATTTGCGTATTGTGTTCTGTAAGCTACAAAGATCGTATGTAAGCTATAAAGGTATTTTAATAGATTTTAATAGATTAGATCGATGTAGATATTATTTAGAAACAGGAGGGACAAAGAAAGACGATATTTAAACTCGGAATAATATACTCACGAATTAATGAGCACGGATAATATATCATAAAGGATGATACCGAACATAAATATCGTAGTGAAAATTTTTGAAAGCAACGAAAGATGTTGTTGCTTCGGTTAAAAATATTATTAGAGAAATGGAAACAGTGTGTGAATCATCTGGACATCTATAAAGAACGTAATGGAGCATTTTAATTTTTAAATTTAATTTCTAAAATACGTACATGGCTGTTATGTATTATCTGTGGCCGGAAGAATGAAAGATAGATCGGAATGGAAAGGGAGAAGACGATTGCCACACGAAGGTGAACGCCGATCATTGCATCTGCGTGATTGTCCGTTGTGAACCTCGTGGTCACGACGACGTGTGAAACGAGTCATGAAACGAATGAATCTCAGAAGCATGTTCCATGCTCAGGGCACGCTGCCAGAAATTCGTCCCACCGCGATAGTTGGCAGATTTCGTGGCGATAAAGCCGCGTTTCCTCTCCTCCTCTAAACTTATCGGACAACGGCCGCGTTTCAATAGCGATGGTTTTAACTTGCAGTAAAATATTAGAAAATAGAACTAACAACCACGTAGCGCTTCGGAAAA